AAAGTGTGGCGCACAGACCCGAGCGCACGCAGACCGCAATCTCTTTTCTGCGTCAGGGATCATCAGAAAGCGCGTCCGTTTTCCTCAAATCCATATTCTTTAAAGTTTGGGAGCACTGTTATTCAAATACTGCGGCATCACATTTAATACTATGATGTGAGTTGTGTCACTTTCCTTTGAATAATGTCACACTTGTTATAACGTGACTTACCCTTCCATTGCTCTGCCCTCACGCCCGGGCTCAGTCCATGGTGCGTATGTCACGTTATAACGAATGTGACCTGATGTTCTAAGGAACACAGTGAAACATATGTTTGTACATGTACGGTATATTTTGTAATTTGCCATCTACAAAACGAGTCGTACATGTACAACCTCCCACTCTCGCTCGTTATTCGTTCCTAAGTCGCTACGCAGGGCCTGCCAATTTTCCAATTTTAAATTGTAATTGTACGACTTCTTCCATAGAAAATTTTCCTGTACCCGTTCCGACAATTTTTTACAGTGAATGTGAACCAATTCACATCATATTAAATGTGACGTCGCAGTATGTAAATAACAGTGAACGATGCGCCTAAGTGCGTCCGGGTGCCTCTGAGACTCAGAGTAGGCCACCCAGCGGTGCTCGCATGCAGAGCAGGCTGGATGTTGCCTACCTGTTAGGCGCTACGGTAGCTTGCAGGCTGAGCTTGGCAATTTCCCAACGCCGAATTAAGGACGTGCTTCCTGGATTATATCTCATACCCTTACCCTAAAAATGTAGGTAGGTTGGCTACTCGCTTGGGGAGATGTGGCCCCATGGTCAACTAATGAGATGCACACTCGCAGGCATTCCTACATACGGTTAAGTATCACCACAGAAGATAGAGAGGGACATTCTGTTAGTAGCCTTGTATTTATAGAGAAGGTAAGACACTTTACAGCTTTGTGGTGTAGGAAAAATAAAATATTTTCGTCACAACATGACAGGACTTGAGCCTTGTGCAAGCCATCCAACGGTAGCATGGTGGCGTAAAGTTGTTGCCTCTTTTTTTAAAAAAAGTATGGATCTGGTTGATTCCAGGCGCGCGAGGCACCGGATGCCGTTCCTCAGACTGATCCCAAAAACTCGGCAACGACCACCGCTAAGCCGCTGCTGCTAGGCGCGGCCTGTAGGCCCGGCGGGGCCGCGAGCCTCGGTGCCGCCGCCCATAGACCAGCCGAGATACCCGAGAACCGAACAAACTGGAGAACTTTCGCTCGTAACGGGGAATATTGTCACCACTGGAGACGGCCGGGCTGGGCTCCGGCCGTCGTGGCGGGGCGTAGCGGGCCGTGACGATGTTCGGGAGGATAAGACTTGTGAAGCAACAGGTGATGCGCACTGTGGTGCTTCTCCCCCTCCGTCACCCCCTTCTCGGGGCCGAAACAAACGCGAATACTCTGAACTGCGGGCTGCCGTCACGTCGTGTGAGTGAGTGTGTGTGTGCGTCCGCGTGTCCTTCCACTCGCTTCCTTCCGAGGCGCGACGACTTTCACGACTGTGTTTTTTTTTAACCCTTTTATTTTTTACTTAACGTCTGCGCCCAGTTTGGGGTCTGAGAACAAAATGCTGACGTGGTTACAGCATGCACGCGAATTTTATTGCTCCCGTAACTTCGAACAAGATCGAAAAAAAAAAACGAAAACAACAAGCAAGTTCATTCCTTGGATCTTATTTGGTGAACATGCTGAACAAAAAATTGGAAAAACTTTTTCAATGCTATTTTGTTTCTGTCATTGTGAAAAATTGACGTACCGTGTACACAAACATTTTCCATGGAAGATGTCGTACAATTACAATTCAAAATTGTAAATTTCCAAGCACTACTAATCGACTTCGATTCGAATAACGAGATTGAGTGGGAGGTTCTTACATATACGGTATGACCCATTTTGTAAAGGGTAAATTACAAAATATATCGTACATGAACGAATATATTTTCTTAACACGTTGAGTCAGAAGGGGGGGGGGGGCAATCATAGCTTATTACTGCTAAACGTGACTCAACGTATCAAGTCGCCTTTTTTTTTTGTAAATATCTTACCCCGACGTGCTGTCCCTCGACGAACACTTGCGGCACCTGGATGCTGTCCAGACGCATGCGCTCCATGAGCTCGCCCTGCACTTCGCGGGACATGAACACGTCCTTCTCGTCGAAGCGCACGAGCAGCGTGCGCAGGATCTGCTTGACGCGAACGCAGCGCTGGTACGTGCCGCGCACCACACCCATGGTGGTCGTGAAGACGACCACCTTGCCCGCCTCCTTGTCCTTCCACGACTGCAACAGAGAGAAGAAATATACACGTTAGCAGAGTATTGGGTTTACCGACTGCGTTTGCCCCTCGTGCAGTTTTGTCCGACGCATCTCCACGACTTCCACGACTCAATTGAGACGGTGCCTCTCAACTGCTGCCCATTTTCAAAGAACCCCTTCTGCGCCTGCGCCTCCGGGGGCCGGAGGAGCAGGCAGCAGTGCCATGAAAAAGCCGCTCGTAAAAGTAGATTGGGTATGGTCGAACAAATAGTTCGCCACTGACTTAAAAGAGTGGAAAGAAAACTCGCTCGAGTTTGTCTGGTGGATGCTGCGGTGGCGCTGTTGTGGTGGCGACGTTGCTATTTAAGAGGGGGGACAGAGACTGCGGGGCGTACGCAATCCTATTCATTATCCGGAACGGCGTTGCGACCGACAAGGACATTAGACAGGAGACGAACGGAGCGATGGAAAGGGGATTGCGATCAAAGCAAAGCCTTCACTGGGAGCAGAAAGCTAAGGACGGGGGACGGGTGCCTTTTTGTAGTAGATGCTTGAATGCGTTTCATTTACTGCAATCAGGGCAGTGAAGTGGCCACATGCACCACAACACAAAGGGCGGTTAGACGACTACGCACTGGTAAAACAAATGTAGAAAGTTGCACACCAAATGATGTGCAGTATCAAGTGTGGAAAGACTAAACACTTCATGATGTTGAACTGAACTACGTCAATTGGTGTGAAAACATTAGACGTTTTGTTTACGTTTTGATAACTAGTGTTCAATATTTGCACACTACTACGTGGGCAGCTCAGTTAAACACCAGGTAATGTGCAAAATCACCAGTGACACACTTAAGTGTGCAGTATTTGCACACTTGTTTTACCAGTGCGCTCCCAGCACCTGTGCTACGTGAGTCGCTCTGCTTCTGTGCACTGGGCAGCTTACGATAACCTAAACGATTACAATGCATAAGACTTACACGACAGCCACTCTTGAACACTGTCCCCCTTGGCTGGGTGCGTCTCATACCATGCAGTCATGTGGGTGATATCGTAAAGTGTCCAACAGCAGTGAAGTTGCACAGGTTCGTGAGTCAGGCTCTTTAAGTCGCACCGCTTCTGGACACTCCAGTATTACAGTGTATTTCCACAGGAAAGACACAAATCTTCGGACTACATTCATTAAGTCCGTATGAAAAGCTACAAAATTGTGTCATGTGCTGCTCAAATTCAGTGCTTCGTCGCGCGAAGCGGTCGTGTAATTTTCAGTAAGCACGTAGCGTGTAGCGCCTGTCACGATTGGTATTTTTGTGAGTAGCGCCGCGCGTGTGCCTGCCGGACTCTGGAGTGTGCGCGCGTACGCCTGGAAAAGCGGTAGATCCGTAGGAAAGGGAAGGGGAAAGATTAGCCACACGAGTGGAGAGGGGCGGGCCGAGCCCGCTGTGGTCACCGCTGGCCACTTTCACTGCCGGGCCCAGCCAGGACCGCGTCAACCGTTCCAATTCTCATTCATTTCATCTTTCGCATTCTCCGACCTTGGACCTTGGCCTTGCAGGAGCTCATATCATACACACACACAACCTTTCTAACGCCGCACATGAAAGCTAATGACCGTTTTAACTATCTCTCCTAATGACAACTCAAGTCACTTAACGGACTCTATACTTTGCAGCTGCAGTTTTGTCGAGGCCTCTAGGTATTGAAATGTGGCCCGTGTGAAAGAAACACTTTTAAGTGGCCGCCTTTGTGTTTTCGATATATGCGTCAGCCAAATTGATGGTCAAGGCGGTAGAAAAAAAAGCTAAAACACGGTTTGCCTGCAGCTCACCTATACGTTGTGAGGTCGCGTTTTTATTTAATTGCGACTTCCGAAGATGGTTGTGCGGTGCCGGTGCCTGTATGGGCGGCCGTTTGTTCATACTGTGCGGGGCGCTGACCCGCGAGAGTGTGCCCGGTTTATTAGCAGGCACGTGGGATGGGAGAGTTTGTTGCGGTGGGCCAGTATCTCTGCAGTCCACTGCTACCAACATCTCATACATAGTGAGCTACTTTGTATTTTCGTTTCATTTTCCACTACTTTCCTTCCAAACTGGAAGAAGAAGAAGAAGAAGAAGAAGAAGAAGAAGAAGAAGAAGAAGAAGAAGAAGAAAAAAGTGAAAATTGTGGCGGGAATCTGTGAAGTGAAATAATTTCGAATCGCTGTCGTGTTATGGAACAACGTTGCTCGCGCCCCGACGGTGGTGGTCAGCCCTGATTGCTCATAAACTCACTCGCGAGTTCCTTTCTTTTTTGTGCATCCGCGTCGTCGTGTATGTAGTACGCCCGCCGTACAAAAGCTTTTGCCGGGGTTATTATGTCCCGCTCAGCTGCAAAGCGCAATTAAAAACAGTTATGGAGTGAATGGACGCCGAGCAAGTCTGCTGCATGAATACATACACACACTGCCTGGCCACGCGGCTCCTGAAAAAGCCGTGAGGGAGGAGGAGGAGGAGGAGGAGGGGGAGGGGGAGGAGGAAGAATAAAAGGATAGTGTTGTGAGGGACATTGAGCCGAAAGCGATGACGATCTGAGGAGGTGGGTAACGGCGCGCGGCCCGCGCTGGACGCCATCTGCCGGGGCCATGCACAAAGTTACGTCATGGCAAGAGTTCCCACGACCCGCGAACCTTGGCGTATCCATTGCAGGCGGGTCCAAGCCTCCCGGCTCATCGCAGAGGGATCAAATTAAATCTCCACGGAGAGTGTGGATGGAACATTGTCGCGCAGTTTATGACTCTTTGAGTTTTCTGCACATGAAACATGTGCGAATTAGAATGACATTGATTAAAAGTTGCTAAGCTCATACTTTGCTATATTTTTAAAAATTGAGTTTTGTTTATGGCTAGAGTGAATTGGTAAAAGGGATAAATATTGAACGACATATTGCTGATGAATAATAAATTCGGTCCGCATGCTCATTTAAATACCACCTTAAGGGGCTTCGCGGTACCTTGCTTGGGACGAGCGCGGTGCTGTTTCTTCATCGAAGTTCACCGACTCGCGGGGCTTGCTTGTAAATTAAGGATTCAGTCGTCTGTTGTCTGCATGATTTCTCTTCCCATGTTCCTTGTTTTTTTTTCACTGTGTGCTGTGCTAATTAGCATGTTATTTGTGAGTCGGTATTGCCGTTCTCGACCCATAGGTCCGCTGCAGGTTGTCTTTGCGGGGACTCTGTGGCCTCTGACAATGTTTGCCTAACCTCAAACGGGAACCCTACCGTGAAAGCGTTCTGGTCATATGGGAAACTAACTGTGTGCGCTGAACGGCGAAGGTTCATTCACCAGTATCGAAGGAGACCGCCATGGACGTTAAGAGCCTAGCTCTACCGCTGCGGTGCGACGACAGTTATTCAAGTTGCTAGTTCGCGTGGTTCTAATGTGAAAATAAGCTCATCTGTGGATCTCCTTCAAACAAGTACGTAAACTTGAGTCAAAGTGATAGGCTGACGTCGAGGAAAGGTATTATCCAGACCGGCCGAATAGGGTTGGCAAGGGGGGGGTGTGGGCACTGAGCTGCTTCTTCCTTTCACCTTTCACGTCAGCGACTCCCATACATCATTCGGAGATGCACCACCATTCGACGAGGCCGGCCTGCTCTTTCAATCAGATCGATTCCTGCACTGTGGGGGAACACAGTGCAAAAAAAAAAATGTAAGGGTTTGCCAGTCGTTGTTTTTTATCTGTGCTCGGTTTTATTCGCAGCATTTTCTTACTTGAAATTTTGAGCCTACTGCAGCGCTCCTTTGGTCAGACAGTATCTAGAGAGCACGTACGTGAGCACGTTAGTCAGGCACGACACGCCTTGGCTGTGTCGCTCACTTTCCCTGCGGCCCTTCCTTCCACCCTGTCCAGCGCCCAGCCCGTGACCTTCACAGCAGAGCATGCGGGGGACACGACAATTTTATCGACCCAACAAGTGTGTGACATTTCAATACGTTTTTACACTTGTACGTGAAGATCGAGGAGAAATTTGATATTTTCTCAAACTCTTCGACGTGGGGAAACAATCGTATTTCATTCGCCGGAAATCTAACCGAGATCCTCATGGCCTCTACCACGACCTCATCTAGTTGAGTTAAGATTCAGATGCAACATGTCGACTGGAATCTACGCGTGTCGGGCAAACTTCTGACCTTCGCGCTCTCTGCACCGGCTCGGCGCAGTGAGAAAGTCATCGAGAAAGTGCTTTCGATGGGACGTTTGTCGCAGTGTAGGCGGGCGTCACGTCTGTGACCAGGTCACAGGTGACCGACATACCGCGGCGCGCGCGGCACGCGGCTCGGCTCTGCGCTAAGCGGCCATACACGCGTGGAATCTCACACCGCAGACGGAGCGGCGGCGACGACTGCGACTTCGAGCGGATGATGAGGTATATTCCGAGGGAAATGACGCTTTTGCACTTGGCGCATTGGCCAACCGTGCGATGCTGCAACAAGGGACCCATCATGCGATGCTGAGGAATATCGACGAGCAGCGCGAAGTGCAGCGGACCCGACGAGACGCGGGGTGCATCATAGCAGCCTCTCTCCAGGACTACCGCGCGAGGATTTCCCAACACTCCGCTAAGCTAAGTAAGAAAACCGCGAAAGGTCACATCGACATCAGAAAATGACAAGACCTCTTCCTCAGTCACAACTGTGCACACAAGCGCGCTTGTCACTTGTCGCACACCATTATATTTCAAGTGCAAAATGAAAAGGGGGTCGGAAAGAGTGGGAGGGTGATAAAAGTAAAATGGAACTACCGCATCGTCCCGAAGTGAAGGGCTCCGGCTCATCCTCCCACAAAGGTCTCTCGGGGTGCAGGCAGAGTCAAGGCTCGCTAAATGTGAGCAGCGCGCGCGCCTTCCCACCGGAACAGGCAGCGACTTTAACGCAAGGCCCCGCGAGAGAGCGGCCCGCGCCCGCGCGGCTCATCCCCGCCAGAGCCCTGCCGCTCATCCCTGCTGCCGAGCACAACAGCTGCCGAGCAGCGCGAAGTGCAGTGC